GGATTCTTGAAACCGCATTCCAATGTTCTTTTCCTAGATTACTAGTGAATCGACACAATATGCCAACCGCATATGCAATATCTGGTCTTGTGCAGTGCATAGCATACATAAGACTTCCAATCACACTTGCATATTGGTCATAAGATCTACTAGTATTTTTCATTAACTTAATACTAGGATCTATCAAAGTTGATGCGGGTTTATGACCCATATGACCATATCTTTTAAGGATATTTTCAATATAATGAGATTGATTCAGCAATATGCATCCATCTTTTCTTATTATTTTAATCCCTAAGATCACACTTGCTTCGCCTAAATCCTTCATGTCGAAGTTAGACTCTAGCAATTGTTTGGTCTCCTTAACACTTTCTAAGTTAGGACAAAAAATAAGCATGTCATCTACATACAAGCAAATAAGAGTACATGTACCATTTCTACATGTAGAATAGATACATTTATCTGCTTCATTAACCTTGAAACCGTTAGACAACATTACTTTATTAAACTTTTCATGCCATTGCATAGGGGCTTGTTTTAAACCATAAAGAGACTTGACTAGTTTACAAACCTTCTTTTCTTGTCCAGGTAAAACAAAACCCTCGGGTTGCTCCATATATACTTCTTCCTCCAAATCACCATTTAGAAAAGCCGTTTTTACATCCATTTGATGGACAACTAAATTGTGAGTTGAAGCAAGAGATAGCAACACGCGGATGGAAGATATCCTTGCTACGGGAGCATAAGTATCAAAATAATCTATGCCATGACGTTTTTTAAAACCTTTAGCTACTAATCGAGCTTTATACTTATTTATAAAGCCATCTGCATTTAATTTCCTCTTGAAAATCCATTCACAACCTATTGGTTTAGAACCACGAGGTAAGTCAACCAGTTTCCATGTTTGATTTGACATAATGGATCTCATTTCATCATTGATTGCTTCTTTCCAAAGCACAGCATCTCGAGAGGAAATAGCTTCTGAATATGTGACAGGATCACTATCATCATTGAGCATTAGCTTAGTCTGATGTATAATATTATTTACATCACCTTCTAGCAAATAAGTCACAAATTTAGATCCAAAAGATTTTTCTTTCCTTTGTCTCTTACTCCTTCTAGGTTCTATTTCCGATTGTGGTTCAACAGAAGTATCATCAAGAGATTCTTCATGAACTCTCTTTGAAGAACTAGAAGTAGCATTATCTTTAGTTTGCATAGTTGAAGACTTGTATATATTTTCAAAAAATTCAGCATCAACTGATTCTATAACATCATTGGATTCTAACTTCAGAAACCTATAAGCAGTACTATTTTTTGCATAACCTATGAATACACATTTATAAGTTTTATTTCCTAATTTAGTAATATCTGGATTTGATTTTCTCACATATGCGAGACATCCCCACACCTTGAGACGGCTAATATTAGGTTTCCGATTGAACCACAATTCATATGTAGTTTTGTTAATCTTCTTCATAGGAATCCTATTTAGAGTATAACATGTACTTAAAATTGCTTCACCCCACCATTGATTAGGTAAACCAGAACTAATAAGCATGCAATTCACCATTTCAACTAAAGTCCGATTTTTCCTTTCTGCTACTCCGTTTGATTCTGGCGAATATGGTGGAGTAAACTCGTGAACTATGCCATTAGTTTCACACAATTTTGCTAATTCTGCTACTTGGTATTCACCTCCTCTATTAGAACGTAGGACTTTAATTTTTCGGTTTAATTGATTTTCCACTACTGCTTTATAAATAAGAAATTTGCTTAAAACTTCATCTTTACTTTTTAGTAAGTATACATAAGCATATTTCGAAAAATCATCTATAAAGATCACAAAGTACTTGTTCCCTCCACGTGAAACTTTACTATGCAGATCAGCCACATCAGAATGTATAAGACCAAGTAATTCAGATGTTCGCATAACAGATTTATGTGGTTTACACATTATTTTACCTTGAACACATATATCACATTTGTTAACATCATCAAACTTACATTTAAGAATAATTCCTAAATTATGCATGTTCTTAATGGATTTATAATTTATGTGGCCTAATCTAGCATGCCATAACGGTAAAGAATCAACAGTATAAGCAAAGTTATGATTTATTAGATTCATTTTGAACATACCATTATATGAGTAACCTTTTCTGACAAATACATTATTCTTAGATACTATAAGGCTATCAGACTTAATTACAAGCTTAAAACCTGCCTTGTTAAGGCGATCCCCAGAAATCAAGTTCTTGGTCATTTCAGGCACATGGAGAACTTCTGCCAAAGTCAGATTCTTTCCCGAAGTGAATTTCAGTTCAATTGATCCAACTCCAACAACTTTGGTACGAACATTGTTACCCATTTTTACTTCTCTTCCATCGGTGCATTTTTTGTAAGTCTTGAATTGAGATTTGTCATTACTTACATGAATTGTAGCTTCGGTATCCAGCCACCATCCTACTTCAAATCCAACTGAGTTGGCTTCTTCCACCACAGCAACAAAGTTTGGATCATGATTTCCATCAGTCACATTTACTTGATCCTTCTTTGTTTTTTCGTTCTTTGCCTTCTCGTCTTTTATTCGATGTCGGCATTCACAAGCAATATGACCAGATTTCTTGCAGTAGAAACAATCCCCCTTGAATTTTTTCTTAAAGGTTTCTGCATAATCTTCCTTAGAACTGGAATTTTTACGCTTCTTGTTACCCTTATGATTTCCTTGAACCATGTTTTCCTTTTCTGCCACTTGATCATTATTCTCTCATTTACGAGAGTCTTCCTCAATACGCAAATGACGCATGAGGGATTCCAAGGTATGCTTGGTTTCATCATGTTTGAGTTTCTTTTTATAGCCATCCATGAACTTGGTAATTTTGCAATAATGGCTCCAACTTGAAATGCATCAGGGAAAACAATTTCAGCAATCTTAAGATTACTAACAATAAGTTGTAATTCATGTACCTGGGCAAGAACAGACTTACTGTCCGTCATCTTGAAATCAAAGTAATTACCGATCAAGAATTTCTGGTTGCTTGCTTCTTCAATACGATACTTGTTGTCCAATGCCAGCCACAATTCGTTTGCTGTTCTGATAGTCCTGTGTGCGCTGTAAACAGAATCTGATAGTGCATTCAGAATATGGCCTCTACACAGAAAATCATCATCTTTCCGTTTCTTCCGCTGTTCCTATAATTCCTTCTTGCGTTCATCTGAATCATCTGCTTTTTCTTCTGGAATAGGCGCGAGATCATCACTCAGAATGTAGGACAGTTTGATTGCTGTCAAGAAGAATAAAACCTTCTCCTGCCAACGCGTGTATTTATGTCCATCAAACCGATCAAGACGAATCAAATCTTGATTCATGACTTGAATTGAGGGTGCCACAGATTCATTTACTGTCAGATCTTGAAACGAAGACATCTCTTAAAACTGTTGAGAAAAATGTAGGGAAATCTGAAAAGTTAATAAACTCCAAGGTACGAAAAAAAAATGTTATCTTTTAAGAGATGTTTCTCCCCTATCTAACAAAGTCACAATTGGGGTATGATAGAAAATCTCTCTCAAGATACAATGGAGACGTTTGTTTCAATTGTGACTATTTGATCAAACCAAGAGACACTCGAAAAAAATTGATTGATGCCAAGAGAAAGAAAGAAGAATAATATTTTAATGTATTTGCAAATGAGAATTCGCCCAGAATCCATAGAAACTGAGGCAACTGTTTGAATAGTTCGAACCCCGTTGCACAGCGGCAAACACTAATTTGGGTGGCAAATCATTCGCAAAACAAAAAATTAAATACATGCAAAATGATGAAAAATATCTAACATATAAGTTCTCCATCAGCCTTCGAAAAAATCATGCAATTTTTTCGAATATTTTTTACAATCAAATACTCTTAGTGTCCGTTTGATTGCGAGAATGGAATTTGAGTGGAAAGAAAAATGAATTGTAGGGAATTGAATTGTCTAAAACTTGTTTTAGTGGAATTGTCAATTAATAGTATTTGATTAGTATAATTTTTCACTTGAAAAATGTTGAAATAAAAGTGTCTTTTGGTGTTCGTTTGACTTTATTTTTAATGAAATTGTCAATTTAAGAGATATTCTCTTTTACAATTATTCCTAAAATTTGTTTTTATTGCAAAAAATAAAAGAAAAAAACCAAAAATCATCTATCTTTTGGTATTCATTTGACTTTGTTTTACATGAAATTCTCAATTTAAGGAATATCATTTTTTACGATTATTCCTAAGAATTGTTTCCATTGTCAAAAAACCACCAAAGCGGTAGGAAAACCAAGAAATGGTAACCATGTGGGCAAAGCAAGAATTCCAATTGCCAAGAAAATTTTTGCAATCGAATAAGCAAAAAGTGGAAGATGGAATTCCTTTTTCTATTTTTCATGAAAAAAATGATGAATCAAACATAGCCTTATTGTAAAAGAAAATATGCATAATATTTTGAAGAGTTCGAAAAAATTGCATGATTTTTTCCAAGGGCGGAGCCAGGGTTTGAGTTCAGTGCAGGCATCATTTTTTGACATCGAACGTCAAGGTTTTGGTTATGGATTTAATGATAAAAAAATAAAACAATATTACAATAATATTAAAAACGATATAATTTATATATTAAACTTGTTCCTTGCGAGTTTTCATATTTTGATATCGTCGTACAATAACTTCATCATTGGGCTTCAAAAATATATCTTTCTCTACCCTTTAAACATTTGATGTCCAATTATTACTGGAAGTGAGTGAGAGTAATTCATAATGACAAAAGGATCACAAATTCACAATGTCCAATTCAGTAATTCACAATTCCACATAATGAATTCACAGCGTAATATCATTATATACTATCAATACACTGCAATTCACATTTCACAATGCAATTCACAATTCACAATTTCACATTATCAATTCACCGTCCAATTCGCAATTTCATAGTGCAATTTATACTATTTCCAAATCTTAAGCAACTTGAACTTACAATTTCACAATCCACTGGATGGAAGCCAAGAAGTCTTCAATCTGCTGTCCCTGTATGTGCCTCTTCGAGCAATCGAAGTTCAAAATGCTAATTTCATTTCGTACGTTAAAGACCAAAAAAAATATATCATTACAATTTGCACAAATCGAAATAACAACAAATAAAAGGGAAAAAAATTCAAATCACTACTGCTGAAAAATTAAAATTCGACTTCACCTTCTTCAGTTCTTCTAGCTTCTTCTTTCGTTGGGCTGGCTGGAAGAAAGATAGTCGATTCCAATGGCGGTTGGCAGTATAAGGAGCAGCGGGGAAATAGTGACTAGAGTCAGAGACAGAGATTAGAGCCCCTAATATAGGAGATGTGGGGGGACTAGAACTGGAATGGAGGTCGCAACTCATGAACGCGAAGGGAAGGGAAGGAGACGAATTCACAAGAGTCGAGAGATGCGAAGGGAAGGGAAGGGAATGGTTTTGATTTCAGTTTTCAAATGAAATGAAGAGGAAAACGGGTTAATTGATTTATGATTCCGGGTTAGGGTTAGTAGGTCAGTAAACGGGTCGTAGGCTGTGGGCAATTGGACATCTCTCTAGGCTAAAAGACGGGAAATGGGCTAAAAAAATAAAAATAATAATAATAATTCTGGGCCTAATGGGGCTCTGCCCCTGATTTTTTCGAGCAATTTTTTCGAAGGCCGATGGAGAACTTAGGGTGTATTTGATACACCCAAAATTTCTATTGAAAATCAATTCCAACTTCCACTTTTGCATTGTTTGATAGCATTTTTTTTTTATCTAGAGTTCATTTTCCATTTTTTTTGCTACCTAAGTTAAATTCTACATATTCCTTGAATTGGAATATGGTGAGAATTCCAATTCCAATCACTATACCAGTTTTTTCTTCTTTTTTTTTATTGCAATGGAAACAAATTCTAAGAATTATTGTAAAAAAATATTTCCCTTTAATTGACAATTTTCATGTAAAATAAAGTCAAACGAACACAACAAGATAGATAATTTTCTTGTTTTTTTTTTGACAATGGAAATAAGTTTAATTCCCAATACCAATAAATTCTATTTCTTTAATTGACGATTTTCATATAAAATAGAGCTAAACGAACACTAAAAAACACTTTTATTTCAACATTTTTCACATGAAAAATTATATCAATCAAACGCAATAATTTATAATTATCAAGAAAACAATTTCTAAATAATTCAATTTCCTAGAATTTATTTTCTTTCCACCTAAATTCTATCTTCGTAATTAAACGGACTTAAAGCGCTTACAAATTACAATGAATTTTAGATAATATAATTATTTCAAAAGGGCAAAAAAGAGATTACACAGCATCCAGATCCTGCGGATTGCAACCATAAAAGGTGAGGATTGTTGAAAGATTACCGCACCATTCCATTCCGTGGCCTCTCTCTCATTTTACATCAATCAAATTTGATAAATATAGTACTTCCTCCACTAACTTTCGAAAAAGTCAATCCAAGATGTCGTGGCAATCATACATAGACGACCACTTGATGGCCGATATTGAGGGTAACCACCTCACCTCAGCCGCCATCATCGGCCATGACGGTAGCGTCTGGGCACAGAGCGCCAATTTCCCTCAGGTCTGAAATATTGTTTTTTGGATCTGAATTTTTTGTGGGTTTTTCTTATTATGACCTGATTTTGGAGATCGGTTAACACTTAGTTGTTTTTACGCATTTTGTATTGGATTGAACTCGATTTATGTTTGATCCAGTTATTGGGTTATATATATATATATATATATATTATTGATCGTGTTTTGAGTTTTGATTGATAATAATCAAGCTTAAGTAATCATGTGAATATGTGGATTGCCAGTTTTTTAGATACGGTCTGTTTGATTTGGGTGGAAAGAAACGGGAATTGAATTGTGTAGAATTTGTTTGAGTGTGAATTGTCAATTAATAGTGTTTAATTAGTATAATTTTTCATCTGAAAAATATTAAAATATAATTGTCTTTTGGTGTTCGTTTCACTATTTTTTTTATGGAAATTGTCAATTTAAAAGATATCAACTTCTACAATTATTCCTAGAATTTGTTTCCATTATCCAAAAAAAAAAAAAAAATCCAAAAATCATCTATTGGTGTTCGTTTGGCTTTGTTTTACATGAAAATTGTCAATTTAAAGGATATCATTTTTTACAATTCTTCCTAGAATTTGCTTCCATTGCCAAAAAAAAAAAAAAAAAAAGTTAGTGAGAATTGATTTTCCTTGTTTTCATGGAAAATGCATCACGTGAGGTAGAAAATGGAAAAGAAATTGCCTAGAAAATTTTACACATCAAACACTACAAAAAGTTGGAAAATGGAAAAAAATTTCTTGGAAAATGTACCATATCAAACGAACCCTTATGTTTTACTGATTTTAAGAACATGACTTTTGATTTATTTAACAGAGATGTCAAATCCTTTTTGTTGAACCGAATTCATATAGTGACTTTGATGATTGCAATATGGAAGCTGATAATATATATTGGGTGGATTTGGATATCAATTTGTAAGAAAATATAAGAAATGTAATTGTTGATCCTGTGGAAAGAAGCTGATAATTTTTATCACAAGTGATTAATTTTATTTTATTATTCTTTTTAGTGGGAATAGTGAATTGTGATATATTTATGGGTGGACCGAAGCCCTTTATAGCTTTTTGTATTGATGCTGTTGTATAGTTCAAGCCTGATGAGATAACTGGAATCATGAATGACTTTGAGAATCCCGGGTCGCTTGCTCCTACTGGATTGTACCTTGGTGGCACTAAATACATGGTGATTCAAGGTGAAGCAGGGGCTGTCATCCGAGGGAAGAAGGTATTATTTCTTAACCCCTGTTTGAGCCCCATTTTTTCAAGAATGCATTTTTTCTAATCTCGTTCTCAACCACACATTCTCTCATAAAATAATGATAAACGTATTTCAAAAAATTTTTCTTACTTTTTAATCACACATTCTCCAAAAAATCACTATTCTATAATACGTTTTACCCCAAAAAATGGGGATCAAACAGGGGCTTAAAGTGTTTGCACACTTAATATAAAGAAACTAGAATGCATTTATCATGTTGCCCAAATCTGGAAAATGGATTAGCAGCTGCAAGAAAAAAGGATATAGTTCCTTAGCCTTATATATTCTTTGACAAATATCTATTTCTATTGCTCTTTTACAATTGCTACTTGCGCAATAGTAAAATTCGTGAACATAGAAATAGCAGAAGCATTTTTGACAGAACTTTTGAAAAGTCAAAAGTTGTTTCTGAAACTAAGAAATTGCTTTTGAATACGTTTGGATAATTTTCTGGATTATATATGATTTTAGAAGAAGTTGGTCTAAGGTAGTTAAAGCCCAGTAAAATTGTCCCAGTATGCACGCAGTTAAGGTAGTAAATATTTTTGAGGTGGGTATGTCTCACATAGCGTTGAAATTGATCTTCTTGTTAATACTATGTATAGTCAGCACACTCTGATACGTCACACGTGTGTTGCATTAATCAGAGGAGTTTATCTCAAAATTGATTTATTTCTAAAGCTATTGGAAGGACCTGATCCCTAACCATTTAATTAATAACATCTGTGTTGTCTAGTCGCTATCTTGTACATGACATATATGTTGCATTAATCAGAGTTTATTTCAAAGTGGATCTATTTTGAAAGCTATAGGGATGACCAGATCCCCTAATCATTTAGTTAAAAGTAGTAATTACAACTTTGAAGCTGTAGCCCTTGACAAGCTGTGGTTGTGGTGGCTGTGCCCTTTTCTTTTCCTGATATGTTGTTTCGATTCAGGGACCGGGTGGCGTGACTGTGAAAAAGACCACCCAGGCCTTAATAATTGGCATCTATGATGAGCCTATGACTCCTGGCCAGTGCAACATGGTTGTTGAGAAGATTGGTGATTATCTTGTTGATCAGGGCCTTTAATTATTTTGGTAAGTAAATTTCCTTTCCGGGCGTCTATGTTTCTACTACAATTGCGACTGATTGACTGTTATGTTTTGCAGCGAAATCTCTATACAAATATTCGGTGTTGTGGGTTCTTGGTCTTGATAAAATGAGTTTGGTGTTTGCGAAGTGAGTGATAGTTTTCTCTTCCTAAGTTCGATTGAGTTGTCTTTGCGTTCCCCTGCTTATGAAGATTGTTGTCATGACTTCGTACGAGTAAATTATGTATTTTTGGTTTGTTTTTTTAATGGATATTTGATTTCATAGACACCCTTTGCAAATATTAGTATTTGGCTGGTATGATAAGCGTATTTGTCGTTTTATTGCTTTGAAATGGTAAAAAGTTTTAAAGATGGTATGTGGAGTATCAAGCTCAAGAGCCACGAGCTCGGGGACGAGCCGAGAAGAGCTCTCGAGCCGCTCGCAAGCTTATGATTTTTTTAATTTTTAATTAATTTATTTTTTTTGGTTGTGAATTTTCACATTTTTGGACTTTTTTTTTTTTTTTTTTTTTTTTTTTTTATTTTTTTTTTTTTTTTTGTAAACTTTCATATTTTTTGACGAGCCCACTAGTCGAGCTCGTGGGCTCGTGTGCCCACGAGCCGAGCAGGCTCGGCTGTGGGATTGAGCCCCTTAACGAGCGCGAGCCGCGGCTCTGTCTCTTGACCCGTTTGACATCCCTAAATGTTCGTATATGTATTTTATATTGCTTTAAAGTGTCAATATCTAATGTGTTTTGTGTGAGTGTGTGTATATTCCCCTAAGATTACTATTGGAATTGGGCTACTCTCTATATTAGTAAACATATACTTAGAGCTTGTTTGGTACAGATTTTAAGTCAATTAAAATCAATTTTTAGACTATTATTTCACTATTTCAACCTTCGTTTTTGAATTCCTTTTTCACAAGTAGAACTTACTTTATCTCTAACGGTCAAAAAATCAATTATCAAATCTCTACTGAAGCATTTAGCTAAAAACTCAACTCACACTCATGGGAACACATGAATCTTAGCTGACGTTATGCCATATCATTCATCATAAATAAACACATTAGGAATTGCATGTGATTAAGAAATTGTAAACTCTAAAATATTGAAACTTCAACAAATTCCAAAGTGATTGATTGATTTTAAGAAGCTACAAAAAATTTCGATCTTTCCAACTTAAATTTTATCGATCCATTTTTCTCAGTGAAAATAACAATAAATTAAATGAATTAAAAAGCAAGTTTACAATTGATCAAATTTATTTAAAATAAGTTTATATTTGATCCACTTTCTCTAGGAAATTATTTTTTCTCAAATTCAATTTCAATTACACATTCTTTCAGTAAAATAATTTTGCATTTTTTTCAATGAAAAATGTTTTCCAACCTTTGAAAATATGTTTAGTTTTTCTTATTTTTGAGGAAAATATCTTCTTTTCTAATAAACATTTTTCATACTAATCAAACACTTTATAAAAAATTTCAAGAGATTCTCTAAATACAAAATACTCTTTATTTTAAAGGGATAAAAGCATATCTAAGTGACTTTTTACTTTTAAAAAAGCATATTTTATAGTGTATTTGATTCTCCTAATTCTCTCTGTCTAATGTACAAGAATCGCATTTAATGAGTTTCAGATTTCAACATTCTACTTCTTCAACTATTGAAACCACATTTAAATGGATTGATTTGTTAAATTAAAATACAAAGAGAAATCAATAAACATTTCTTAAAATAAAAAGTCAAATTAGTGTCTAAAAATTTAGAGATGATATGTAGCAGATTAATATTATTCATAGTCATTCACTACGGTAGTTTTCCTACATGCACTGTGACAGTGAGTGACTGCAGCATTATTATGTATGTAATGCATAAGATGCCATATCTTTCTTGAAGATGCTTTAATATAATGGACATGCCGGCCCTAATATTTTGGGGCGTTATGCTAATTTCAAATTGGAGCCTTATATTTTGAGTCTCACTGTATAGAGTTTTAACTTGTTTGATAAAGATTAAGCCATTGTTTGAGCCCCATTTTTCAATCAAAATAATTTTTCAACAGTAATTTGACATCATTTCAACCACACATTTCTCAATAAAATATTATTACACTTAAATCCAAATTTTTTTCTTATTTTTAACCACACATTCTACGCACTATTTCAAACTACATTTTTTGGGAAATATTGGCCTCAAACAACCCTTAAAATCAAAATTTTGGTAGATTTTGATAGAAGTAGATAAAATATGTGGATTTAAACTCTTGGAACTTGTTGATTTTGATTTAGATTAAAATATGAATTTTAATCGATACCAAATAGAGGCTTAATATAATTATAAAGAATCTAACACAGACAACTAAGTCCCAAAATTTGAAGAGAAAATTAATAAAATATCAAATTTCAACCAATAAACAAATTATAAGTAAAGTTTGGCAAACAGAATTACAATGCAATGGTAAAGGGGTGTACTAATTTGTATGATTACTTTCGCACTGTCATTCTTTCAAATAAAACTGAATATACATTTGAGTGATTTATGTACAAAATTGGAGAATATTACTACAAAAGATAGTGTAAAAAATAATGAACATGATGATCAAATACAAACGAGATTCTAATTTTATATTAATTTATAAGAAATTAATTTAAAATAAGAAGTATCTGTATGAACAAGAATAAAGAATTATTAAATTCAATGTACTTTCAGCAAACATATTTTTGGGAAATATTGGCCTCAAACAACCCTTAAAATCAAAATTTTGGTAGATTTTGATAGAAGTAGATAAAATATGTGGATTTAAACTCTTGGAACTTGTTGATTTTGATTTAGATTAAAATATGAATTTTAATCGATACCAAATAGAGGCTTAATATAATTATAAAGAATCTAACAAAGACAACTTAAGTCCCAAAATTTGAAGTGAAAAATAACAAAATGTCAAATTTCAACATTCAATACAAATTATAAGTAAAGTTTGGCAAACAGAATTACAATGCAATGGCAAAGTGGTGTACTAATTTGTATGATTACTTTTGCACTGTAATTATTTCAAATAAAATTGAATATACATTTGAGTGATTTATGTACAAAATTGGAGAATATTACTACAAAAGATAGTGTAAAAAATAATGAACATGATGATCAAATACAAACGAGATTCTAATTTTATATTAATTTATAAGAAATTAATTTAAAATAAGAAGTATCTGTATGAACAAGAATAAAGAATTATTAAATTCAATGTACTTTCAGCAAACATATAAAAATATTATTATCATGAGATTAAAACAAAACAATATAATAACAACATATATACTCTATAGTTTATGTTTTTAATGTAAAGGGAGATAATTTATATCTTGTTAGGTTGAAAAAATAATGATTGGTGATTGTTGGACATGGAAAAGACAAGAGACTTTTTGTCTAATTAGAAAAAGAAAATGAATGTCTATAAGATAAAGCGTCGACTTAATTATTAATAGGGAAAGTAATGTTTGTATAAATAAATGTAAGCGATAAGTTTGTTGTTATATATATATTTTAAAGATTTTTGTATTTTCAATTTTTATTAGTTTCTCATGTTTTCATACGATAGTTCTATTTTCATAATTTCATAAATATAATTTTTAATTTTTTTCAACCAACCAATTAACTAGAGCTGAATAACGAAACCATCAAACCGCAAAATCGAACCGAAACCGTTTTCCTGAAATCGTTGGTTTGGTTCCATGTGGATCCGTCAACGTTTTCATTTTAAACCGAACCAAACCACTTCGAAGTGGTTTGGTTTAGGTTTCAATCTTTGCAAACCGTTTACCAAAAAAAATTGAAAATAAACTAAATTTTATTTAACCCAATTAAAACTTAACACATTTTAATTAAAAAGATACATCTATATTAGACATAATTCAATTAAACTCAAATTGACAATTATACATCTCAATTAATTAATTAATCATATCCAATCATTCATGAGTCATCACAACTGTGAATGTAAAACCCTCAAATTGGTTATAGTGTTGAACAACTAATGCTAAATCACATCCATTGATTCTCCATTACAATTGAGCAAACAATAAAATCTAGATTTTACTTCAAATGTGCACATTTTATTTATTTCTAATAATTTTTTCAAATTTAAGTCAGATTACCAAAATTCTTTTATTTTTTGGTAATTATTTTTATATTTTTATTGGTAGTTATATTTTTTTGTTATAATAATTGTCAGTTTATCGATCTCCCTTAAAGTAATTTACCAATATTTAGATTTAGTAGAAATTTTAAATGATTCACAAAAAGTCATAGTAGCTAAGTACTATTGTATTTGAATTTTTTTGGGTTCATTTTCTTTTATTAATTATTATATATCATTTAATTATAATCAATGAATTTATGTACTATATTTTTATATTTATGAAGAAAATGAATCATGTTTACACTTGCAGATAGACATCATTAGTATCGATTAAGAGTTCAAAATATTTATATCATGTTGTTGCATTATAATGATTATAATTATATAACTTTGATTTGTAATTTTTTTAATAATACAATTTATGTTTTAACATGAAATTTTAGACTATTATTTATGATTTAACTTATTTGATATATATTAAAAATTTTTTGTTAAACCGTAGTTTTAAATTGAATTAAACTGAAAAAATGGTTTGGATTGGTTTGATTTAGAAATCGAAGTAGTTTGGTTTAAGAAAATTTCAAACCGCTTTATATAGTTTGATTTGAAAATTTGTCTCAAACCACCCAAATCGAACCGTGCTCATCCCTACAATCAACTTTACATAATTTGAGTTCTCATCAAAACGGGGCGTTAGGCTTAGGCAATCGCCTACTTCACCTATATTTAGGTTCGGATAATGGATGAAGTGCAAGTTCTCGATTTGCACCAGGAACACTGGTATGGCGTTGAGAATGCCTGAAATGAAGGCGGACATTCACATGAATGTCAACTATTAAGCTATGTTGAACGGTCCTGAGACGAACGTGCGTGTCCTCATCACTCTCTCTCTAATTCAAATAAACTTCAAACCCATAATCCAAATTCCAAGAATAAGCTCTGAAATTCAAGCGAGGAAAAAAATGGTTTCAGATTGTTTCGGAGTTGAAATTTTCGAAGATGTCGTGGGAAACTTATGTTGATGATCACTTGATGTGTGACATTGAGGACCATGAAGGTCACCGTCTCACTACGGCCGCCATCGTCGTCCATGACGGTTTTGTTTGGGCTCAGAGTGCCACTTTCCCTCAGGTTCACTCTCTTTATCATCGCTCGCTGTAATCTAAAAGTTTAAGCAGCGATTTTTATTTTTTTATTTTTTTTGTAATGTAATCTTTCTGTTCTACTCTAACGCGGATTTATGGTTCCAGTCAAATTTCCTATTATATACATCACTGACGTAAATACGGATTTTGATTATCGTATCAATGGATTCAGTTATTTATACCTCACAATCATCAAATTGTTATTGTGTTCTGCTAATGCGTAATCCCTTTTCTTTACTGAAAAATTTCTTATATTTGTCCTTACATTTGGGATTTCCACAATTTTGTTTTCTCAATTTTCTGTTTTTGGAATTGCAGTTCAAGCCAGAGGAGATTAATGGCATTACAACAGATTTCGACGAACCTGGTCATCTCGCACCAACAGGCCTACATCTTAGAGGAACAATAGCAGTATTATATATGTAATGCATAAGATGCCGTATCTTTCTCGGAGATGCTCTAGTGTAATGGATGAAGTACAAGTTCTTGATTTGCACCAGGAATACCGGTATGGCGTTGAGAATGCCCGAAATGAAGGCGGACATGTTAATATTTAGTTTTAATCATGTTAAGAATCGACAATCACATTCCAATAAATTTATAGAAATGAATTCATACATGTGGAAGCCCTTGTTGATATGAATAACAGTTATAATAGCAGTCAAGATCTTCCCCTCTTTGCTCCTCACAAAATTATTAGCTATCAATGGGGCAAACCAATAAAAAACTTATGGAGAGGAGAGGGGACCTAGCCTTTATATAAGAAATAATTGAGATGTCCCATTATGACTAGAATTCTAGTTAGGGTTTATTTCCAGCCCACATATTTTAAATTACCACATTAAATTAATTACAACCCGTAAAGTGTAACAGGCCCAATTTATCACTTAATAAATTTGGCCCAAACACAAATATCATTATGAGCCATACATCTAACCTGTAAAATTTGCAATTGAATGTGAAGCCCACATATGGAATTATTAGTTATTCCAACATTCTCCCACTTGGGCAAACATTTGATTGCTATAACAAAGTTTTAACACCCGGGTTAAACTACATAGGTGGCTACAAAAGTATAGCTCCAATGATGTCACCTTACGTAACATGATCTGGTCCAACAAGAATATTAACACCGAACATGGAAGTCATTACACCAATTAAGCGATATAAGACTATTCCATAGCTACAAATGTTAACATCCTTATCGACATGGATCCCCATCCTCCAACTAATGTGGTAGTATGTGATATGAACTTAACACCAAATGTGATCAAAATTGTGTTAACTCATATCGATCCTCATAATGCTTCGAATCAAAATGAAGCCATATGTCTCCAAAAGAGACTCATCTTATGTCTTTACATGTCATATCTCAATATCACAATAATATTATAATAAAAGACATAAATCAAATGCATGCTCAAAATAGTCCATGGATAGGGGAAAAATATTTTATTGTCAAAAGGGGCTGTACCTGAAAACATATGGGTTGCCTACGTACCCCATAAAGGTATCAAACCTAAAACATAGTTCTTTACATATATATAACTCCCACTAACCAAAAACATTAAATGTTTCCACAATGCCCATATTAGTGACATATGTCTTAAAGACTTTTGGAGCGAGTCCCTTAGTCAAGGGATCTGCAACCATCGCCTCTGTATTGATATGCTCTATTTTCATCTGCCCTTCTCTGACTCTGTCTCTAACAACCAAATATTTGGTGTCAATATATTTTGATCCACCAGAACTTTTATTATTCTTTGAAAAGAATATTGCTGCACTATTATCACAGTAGATGGTCATCGGTCTTAAGATGTAATCAACAACTTTCAAGCCAGAGATGAAATTTCTTAACTAAACGGCTTGACTGTAGCCCTATAACATGCCACAAATTCAGCTTGCATAGTAGAAGATGCCACTAGAGTCTGTTTAGCACTTTTCCAAGAAATGACACCACCAGCTAATGTAAAAATATAACATGAGGTTGATTTCAAATCACCTTGACATCCAGCAAAATCAGAATCTGAATATCCTACCACCTCAAGATGATTTGTACAATAGAATGTAAGCATATAACTTTCAGTTTTCTTCAAATATCTTATAACTTTCTTAGCTGCTTTTCAATGCTCTTGTCCTGGATTAAACTGAAATCTGCTAAGGACACTTACTGCGTAGGCTATATCCGGCCTAGTGAAAACTTGAGCATACATTAAGCTCCCCACAGCACTAACATATAGAATCACTTTCATAGATTTCCTTTCTAGCTCATTCCTTGGACATTGAGTTTTGTTAAATTTATCTCCTTTTATGATAGGTACATCACTAGGTGCACAATTTTGCATATTAAACCTTTCTAGAACACGTCGTATATAAGCTTTCTGAAAAAGTCCCAATAAGCCACGATTTCTGCCACGATGTATTTCAATGTCAAGTACATAGGATGCTTTTCCAAGATATTTCATCTCAAAATTATCAGACAACATTTTCTTTGTCTCATGAAACAACCCTAAATTACTGCTAGCAAGCAGAATGTCATCAACATACAGTACAAGGAAAATAAAATTTCTCTCACTGGTTTTAAGATAAATGCATATCAATAGTATTTTCAACAAAATCAAGAGAGGTCACAACTTCATCAAATTTCAAATACCACTATCGAGATGCTTGCTTGAGACCATATAAAGATTTGTTTAACTTACATACCAAGTTTTCTTTTCCTTTCACAACAAAACCTTTAGGTTGTTTCATATAAACCATTTTAGAAAGATCTCCATTCAAAAATGCTGTCTTAACATCCATTTGATGAAGCTCCAAATTGTAGTGTGCCACAAGAGCCATGATAATTCGAAAAGAATCTTTCGACGAAACAGGGGAGAATGTTTCAATATAATCAATGCCCTCTCGTTGAGTGAAATCTTTTGCAACCAATCTTGCTTTCTTTTGTGCAACATTTCCTTTTGAATCTAATTTACTTTTGAAAATCCACTTGTTATCTACAGCATTAACATCTGGAGGAAGTTCAACAAGATCCCAAACTTTATTCTTTTCCATGGAATTCATTTCATCTTCCATGGCAGCTATCCATTTATTTGCCTCAGGACTTGTTAATGCTTGATTATAAGTTACAGGATCAACAATATGCCTAATATTAAAATCCCTCTCCAATAAATATGTAACATAATCACTGGGCAATGCAGATCTTCTTTCCCTTTTTGATCTCCTAACTTGTGGCTCAGGAACCGATTCAATCGTTGTTTGAGGAATTGGAGATTCCTCCTGGTTCCTCGATTCTTCATTAACAACTTCAATTGGTTGAGAACCAACTCTTTCATGTATGATAGGAACTGGAACAACAAATTGATTAGGTTCAACAAGAATTTCTCTCAACGTGGAACTCTCACTATCTCCAAAATCGTTCTCCAAAAACTTAACAGTAATGGACTCCATAATTCTAGTGCCGCTATTTGGACAGTAAAATTTATATCCTTTTGATCTATTCGGATACCCAATAAAGTAGCCAAGAGTTGATTTAGGGTCTAATTTCTTTTCAAATGGATTATAAATCCTAACCTCAGATGGACATCTCCAAACTTTAAAGTGAGCCAAACTTGGCTTACGTCTTGTCCATAATTCAAAAGGCGTCTTTTCAATAGCTTTACTTGGTACTCTATTCAAAATATACGTAGCTATTTTCAAGGCTTCACCCCACAAATATTCAGGCAAATTTGTTCTACTCATCATACTTCTAACCATATCTTTTAGAGTTCGATTAAGTCTTTCAGAAACACCATTCTGCTCAGGTGTCCCTGGCATGGTGTATTGGGGCACTATTCCACACTCTTGTAAAAACTTTGCAAAATCACCCATATTTTGACCAGACTCGTCATATTTCCCATAGTACTCACCACCACGGTCAGACCTTACAACTTTGATACTTTTCCCACATTATTTCTCTACTTCCAATTTGAAAACTTTGAATTTCTCAAGTGCAAGTAATTTATCGTTAATCAAGTAAACATATCCATATCGTGAGAAATCATCAATGAAAGTTATAAAATATTTATTCCCACATATAGTGGAAGGCAAAGGTCCACTGACATCAGTGTGAATTAAGTCCAAAATTCCATTACTCCTAGTCGAACCCTTCCTCGTAGACTTAGTTAACTTTCCTCTTATAAAATCTACACAGGTGTCAAAATCAGAGAAGTCTAAGGAGAGAAGTATCTCATCTTTTACTAATCTTTCCATTCTATCCTTAGAGATATGACCCAAACGCTTATGCCACAACATAAAGGATGATTTATGAATTAAAGTTCTTTTCTTTGATACATTGGTAACACATGAGACATCATCAAAAGAAGCCAAATATAATTTATATAAACCATCACATAAAATGTCATTCTCAATCAAACTAGAATCATTAAATAACTTAAACATTCCATTACCAAAATTAAATGTAAAACCACAAGCATCAAATTTCGGTATAAAAATTAAATTCCGTCTCATCTGCGGTACATAAATTGTATTTTTCAAAACAAGATAAAAACCAGACTCTAAAGTTAACTTCACTACTCCTATGAATTCAACCTTCACTTGAAATCCATTTGCAACGCTCAAACTTACTTAATTCTTACTTGGCCTCCGTTTGCTTGTGAACCCCTGCAAGGAATTCGCAATATGAATACTAGCTCCCGAGTCTAACCACCAAGAATTCAAAGGCACATCTACTAAAGAAGACTTAAAGCAAACTAAGGTCAAGGGAATACCTGGAGAACTCTTCTTCTTTTCCAACCAAGTCTTAAACTTAAAACAGTATTTCTGCCAGCGACCCTTCTTTTTGCAAAACTTACATTGATCATTTTTCTTTATAACTCTTTTCGGACCACTAAAATTTTTATTCTATTGACTTCGGTGGGACTTATTACCCTTACGAAACTTAGGTTTATGATTATGAGAAGGCCACTTATTCTGTGATGGCTGAAAAACTAATTGCACAGTTTCAACAGTTTCACGATGCATCCTATACTCTTCTTGGGCACACACTGCTATGAGGTCATTCAAATTGCATTTATCTCGTTAAGCATTGTAAGCAACCTTAAGTTGATTAAACTTGCTAGGAAGACTATTCAAAACATGATAGATCAGGAAAGGCTCCGCAATGGGAATGTTAAGAGCCTTTAGCTTAGATGATATATTTATCATTTTCATGACGTGCTCCCTAACACCACTTATGCCATCATATTTCTTGCTCATCAATTTATCCATCAGATCCCCAGTTTCGGCTTTATCAGACTCCATAAATTTTTCTCCTATGGCATCCATAAAACTTTTGGCATTTTCGTTATCAGGGATGGCACCTAGAATGGAATCAGATATCGATCGCTTAATGATTTTCAAACGGAGTTTGTTAGCCATTTCCTACTTTTCATGCTCGGTTACATATTCAATGGTACTTTTATCTGTGGGTTTCTCAAACTTTTTCTCCATTGCAAAATCTAAACCAAAAAGACCAAATGCTATTTCTACGTTTCGTTTCTATCTCACATAGTCATTTCCAGTCAAAGTTTTGATTCGAAAGAGATGAGACATTATACATAAAATATCATACTCAATATCATCCAAACGTAATGCATGCAATCAAATGAATGATGAAATATCCAACTAATTAAGATGGGCTATTAATTAGATAATCCGTATTTTAAATCAAAACATATGAATTTTATTACGAGAAGAGCCTAGGTGCATTATCATAAAGTCACATTTGGGTCGACAATACAATATGTTATAAGGTACTCTTAAAATGTATCATCTAGTCAGTTAACAAAATTACACTGATTTTCGAAACACCAACACCTTTGGACAGAAGGAAATTTCTAAACCAAAATAAGCTCCTTAACCGTCTTGTGCCATTTTCCAAAAATATTACATATAATAACACCTTTGGGCAAGATATTATATGCAATAAATCAAAAGTTGTTGGACAAAAAAATATATATTTTTATTGTAGAGAAAACCGAATAAATAAAAAAATGAAAATGAGTGTGCCACTTTGGCAGCTACCACCCATTTTTATTTCAAAATATTTCTCTCTTAGTAAGAAAATAAGAATCGTCTCAATGCCCATGAAAAATTTAATCACAGAAGTTATGCAACAAATCATGATTATTAATTGATGAAAGATAAGAAATCCATACGTGATTAATATTAAGAGACGAAATTGGCAACAAAATTTCAAAATAAAATTTAATGCATAAATAATGGCAATACACAACATTTTAATGAAATAATACAAAAGTCGTCAATTAATTTTATTATTTATTCAACATATAATTTTAATCGAGTCAAAAATAAAATTTTAGGGTCAAAAGTTTAGAAGTTCAAATTTAGGAGCCACTTATTGAAAATTACATTTTAATACTAAACACAAATTAAAATCAGATCCTTCATATTTAAAATTGCATGGCAGGTCCTTATTTAAGTAATTACAATTTGACCCCCAACTGATAATTGCAAACAGGGGTTTGAAGATTGGTTATTTACGGAAGAAACCCTCGCATATTTTTGGCCAATTTTTCTGAAATATATATATTTTTTCTTTTTTCTTACACCGGTGTCGCTCAAGCTGGCGGTGCCTGCAGGCGCTTAAACCATGTTGCTACCGCCGATCAACTTTTGTAATTTTATTTTTTTTTTATTTAACATTCAACCACTCATATTAAACACCACATAATTCTTCAATTAAAATTGATGCAAAAACAAAAGCCTCCAATGGAAAGTGTAAGAATTTGGAAGCCATCTCCAACAACAGGAATTCGGAAGCCATCTCCAACAATAGGGACTTTTCCGTTTCAAGCTTTTAATTGGAAAAGTAATTCTACTACCACCCACAGTGAAAAACTAGGATTTTTCTATTCAAACCCAAACAAAACCAAATCCTATAGTAGGTTTTATTGAAATTTATATGAACTTTGCTTTTTCAAAGTCAAAAAATTATAATGAGGAGAGAGAGGGAAAGCATTTATTGTTCACCCATTATATATATATATATATAAGGAGGAAAGAGAGGGAAAGCATTTATTGTTCCTGCCTTTATTATTTCTGCCTGGGTTACTCCACCACATGAAGGAAATACAAATTAATTCAATGACACATATTATTTTAATGTATGCACAGAAGACGTTTTTCAAAGTGATAAGAAAAAAAGTTTCATGAAGGATTTCGATCTTAACATGCTGCTCTGATACCAATTGTTAATATTTAGTTTTAATCATGTTAAGAATCGACAATCACATTCCAATAAATTCATAGAAACGAAATGACAGTTTAATAGCAGCCAAAATTTTCCCCTTCTTGCTTTCACAAAATTATTAGTTATCAATGGGGCAAGCCAATAAAAAACTTATGGAGAGGAGAGGGGACCTAACATTTATATAAGAAATAATTGAGTCATCCCATTACGACTAGAATTCTAATTAGAGTTTATTTCCGGCCCACATATTTTAAATTACCACATTAAATTAATTACAACCCGTAAGGTGTAAAAGACACAATTGATCACTTAATAAATTTGGCCCAAACGCAAATATCATTATGAGCCATACATCTACCCCTTAAAATTTGCAATTAAATGTGAAGCCCACATATGAAATTATTAATTATTCCAACAGGACATTCACATGAATGTCGACTATTAAGCTATGTTGTACGATCCTAAGAGGAACGTGCGTGTCCTCTTCACTCTCTCACTAGTTCAAATAAACTCCAAACACATAATCCAAATTGCAAGAATAAGCTTTAAAAATTCAAGCGAAATAAGAAAAAAAGAAGTTTCAAATTGTTTCTGAGAGTTGAAATTTTCGAAGATGTCGTGGCAAACATATGTTGATGATCACTGATGTGTGACATTGAGGGCCATGAAGGTCACCGTCTCACTACCATCGCCATCGTTGGCCATGGCGGTTCTGTTTGGGCTCAGAGCACACTTTCCTGCAGGTTCTCTCTCTTTTTCATCGTTCGATGTAATCTAAAAGTTTAAGCGGCAATCTTTTTGTAATTTAATCTATTTCTTTTCTACTCTAATGCAGATTTGTGGTTCCAGTCGATTTTCCTGTTATATACATCACTGATGTAAATACGGATTTTGATAATCGTATCAATGGATTCAATTATTTATTCCCCACAATCATAAAATCGCTATCATGTTCTGCTAATGCATAATCCCTTTACTATGCTGAGTAATTTCTTATATTGGTCCTTAATTACATTCGGAATTTTCACAATTTTTTTCCTTTGTTTTTGGGATTGCAGTTCAAGCAATAGGAGATCAATGGCATTACCACTGATTTCAACGAACCTAGTCATCTGGCACCAACAGGCCTACATCTTGGAGGAACAAAGTACATGGTAATTCAAGGAGAGGCTGGAGTTGTCATCTGTGGAAAGAAGGTATTGAATTCAGAAATTATATTTCTGTTGGAGAAATTCTGTCATATGGGGCCACACGTGTATATATTAAAATGTGTGATGCTATCTTCAAGGTTTAGTCAATAAGGTGATCCATTGAGTTTAATTTTGGACTAATGGGTATTAATTTGCATGGAATCAAAGTGTGGAGACCGGAATAATTATTTTAAATTGTTGAGGGTCCAATTTGAAATAATTGAAAGATAATAATTAATTATTTAATATGGGTCGTGGTCCCCAATTGCACGTGACTTCCAGAATTCTTTGCTTCCCCATCAACAAAGAACGGATTTCAAGAAATCACATAGTAGTTGGAAGATCATAATCGATTTCAGAAAACTCAGATCTATGGATTAAGGTACGCTTTTGCATTTATTTTGTTTTCTCATTGATTTCAACATGGAGATTCAAGAATCTGGTTCGTTTCGATTTACTACAAGTGGTATCACAGCCACTCCATTGTTGAATTCTTTGAGAAATTGCAAGATTTAATGTTACTACAGTTTTATATTATGCATTAATTTTTTGAATGATCTTGCAATATTTTTGAAAGGATTTTCAAATTTGACTATTTGGATATGTATTTGTTGAATTTGAAAATCATTTGGAAGATTATTTGTGATTATTTTTTAAGACTTGGGTAACGTTTTTGGCATATTATTCATGATTGTTCTTTGAGATTTGGGTTAAATGTTTTGAGATCAAGTTGGGAAATTGTTGATGCAATTAAAATGTCAAACGTATATTAGGCTATTCAATTCTGCTTGGCTGATTGTATTTTGCCCATTTGATTAATTTATGGATCAAAGCTTCTGGTAGCATAATTTGGTTTCAAAGTCCGAATTGATGGTTGCCATGTGAGATAATTTAAAGTATTGAATATGATTCATAATTACAACCGTTGAGTAGTTCCATTCATTTTTAAGATTTCAATTATGAATGAATTGGTGGCTGTCTCTGCATTTGTTTACTATTTCGGAAGAAAACAGAATCGAAGTTAATGAATTTCTTCGCATAGAATTCAAAGCTTTAAAGATTATTATGGCTTGTGTACTTAGATTGGTTCGAGATCCACCAAAGTGGGTAACTTGTATATTCACAAAAAAATAAAAATAAAAAACCACTTCTGGCCGACGGCTATATGCAATATTTATGGATGAAAATAAAATTATAGTTATTGGGCAGTCAGCGCTGCAATACAAAAGTTTCAGTTTGGGTGGATTTTGGGATTTCAGGCCCTTGCTTGCAATTTCAAATTAGGGTTAATTATTTTTTCAAAATAAAAATTTACATTTTAGTCCCTAATGTTTCTGATCCATCCAAGTTGGACCTTCAAGGTTATAGGTTTAATAATTCAGCCCCTAAATTTTGAAAATTATTTAATTTGGGCCATTAAATTTCTGAAATTTGCAATTAAAGCCCTCAATCTTTATAATTAATTAAAATTGCCCCCCCAAGTTTTAAAATTTTTCAAATCTTGATCCTAAAGTTTTGAATTATTAACCCTTAGGTCCCTAAAGTTTCTAAAGGCATCTAAAGATACAAAATTAATGACTCTCTTTCTCTAATTATAATACTAAGGACTCTTTTAAGAGAAATAATTAAGGTTTAATTATGTGAAACAATCAAATTCGAATAATTTGGTAAATCATACATAATGAATTAAGGTTATCTAACATTTTGAATAAACTAATTAAAACAATATGTCACCAAAGTGACATCTTTTGTATAGATTGGTTTGTTTGAAATGTTTAGATGTTATGTGTGTATTTCTTTATGCGGGTATTAACCAACCCAAAGGAAGGTTAATACTTGGTCAAATTACATACACACCTACGGTGGTAAATGTGTGACAATTATAAGGTTTCCATGTGAATAATAAATCAATCCAAAGATGATTTCATTATTGGACAGGAGTTGTTGTCAATGTTTGATTACTGTATTGAGAGTACCACTAGCAATTAATATTACTGTCCAAAGACTTGGTATTAATGTTACACTAGGTATCTTGAGATGTGACTTACCATTATTTGAATTTATTGTTCATTTAATATGGATATGAGCATGATTATTTGTTTATTTTTGTTCTCTCTACAGATAATTTATCTGCTAATATCAATTCCATTCCCATGCTTAATGGGACAAACTTCAAGGATTGGAAGGAGAACGTATTGATTGTTCTTGGTTGCATGGATCTTGACCTTGCACTTCAAATTGAGCAATACACTCCTCTTACGAAAGAAAGTTCTCCTGATGAAAGGAGAAATTTTGAGAAGTGGAATCATTCAAATCGCACGAGTCTAATGATCATTAAGTGCGGCATTCCGGAAGCCTTTAGAGGTGCAATATTTGAAGAGATAACTAATGCTAAGGAGTTCCTTACCGAAATTGAGAAACGTTTTGCAAAAAACAATAAGGCTGAAACAATCACGCTTTTGCAAAGCTTGATTTCAAAGAAGAATAAAGGCAAGGAGAACATAAGGGAATACATCATGGAGATATCTCACATTGCTTCAAAACTTAAAGGGCTAAAGCTTGAGCTGTCTAATGACTTGCTCGTACATTTGGTATTGATCTCGCTTCTTACACAGTTCATCAATTTAAGGTCAATTATAACTGCTAGAAGGAGAAATGGTTTCTAAATGAGCTCATTTCATATTGTGTGCAAGAGAAAGAAATGCTGAAACAAGATAGGACTGAAGTTGCTCACTTGGCAAACACTTCTAAGGATAAGTGCAAGAAAAAGATGAAGGAATATGAAGCTGCTCTTAAGGGGCCAGGACAAAAGAAACAGAAGGAAGATAAAGGAATTTGTTTCTCTTGCAATAAGGCTAGACATGTGAAGAAGGACTGTGCTAAATATCATGCATGACATGCAAAGAAAGGTACAATTCTTACTTTAGTCTATTCTGATAATAATTTAGCTTCAGTACTTAGAAACACTTGGTGGATGGATTTTGGTGCTACTACTCACCTAAGTGTTTCTATGCAAGGTTGCCTGAGCTACCAAAAATCAAGTGATGGTAAAAGATACATCTATGTGGGTGATGGCAAATCGGTGGAAGTTGATGCAATAGACACTTTTAGGTTATTATTGGGAATTGGTTATTATTTGGATTTGGAAGACACTTTTGTTGTACCGTCTTTTAAAAGGAATTTAATTTTTGTTTCTTTGTTGGATAAATTTGGATATTGTTGTTCATTTGGAAACAATCGGTTTAGTCTTTCAATAAATTCCAATATTATTGGTACTGGTTCATTATGTGCATATGATAACCTATATTTGTTTGATATAATTGCATTATGTAATGAAACCTTACATGTTGAATCACGTGGTACTAAACGTAAATTAAATAAAGAAAATGCAGCAAAATTATGACACAAGCGCTTAGGTCATATCTCAAAAACTAGAATTGAGCGACTTGTGTCAGACAGTATTTTGGATTCCCTTAACTTCATGAATTTTGATGTGTTGACTGTATCAAGGGAGAACGGACCAAAACAAGGAGATTAGGTGCTAACAGAATTTCGAACGTCTTAGAATTGTTACACACAAATATTTGTGGGTCATTCCCTACGGCTTCTTGGAATGTTCAACAATAATTTATATCATTCATAGATGATTACTCACGTTATGGGTACCTATATCTCATTCATGAAAAGTCTGAGTCACTTTACATGTTTAAAGCTTTTAAAGCTGAGGTTTAAAATGAACTCAACAAAAGGATAAAGAGCGTTAGGTCTGACCGTGGTGGTGAGTACTACGGCAGATGTGACGGTTTAGGTGAACAATGTCCAGGACCATTTGCTAAATACCTAGAGGAGTGTGGAATCTCCCACAGTACACCATGTCAGGATCGCCTAGCATGAATGATGTAGCTGAAAGATGAAAGAGAACTCTGAAGGACATGGTAAGGAGTATGATAAGGCATTCCACCTTACCAAAATCACTCTGGGGAGAGGTATTAAAGACTACAGCTTATATTCTGAATAGAGTACCAACTAAGGCTGCTGCTAAAACACCTTATGAGCTTTAAACAGACAGAAATCTAGTCTAAAGCATTTTCACATTTGGGGATGTCTAGCTGAGGCGAGGCCTTATAGGCTGCATGCAAAGAAATTGGACTCCAAAATAGTTAGTAGTTATTTTATTGGTTACTTTGAGCGATTTAGGGGCTATAAATTTTATGATCCCACACTTAAGTCAAACGGGAACCACAACATTTTTTGAGGATGTTGAGTTTGGGGAGAGAAATAAGGTTAGAGCATTGTCTTTGAGGAAGAAGTTGAGAAAGGATCAATTTTGATTCCTACTATTATTTTTGACAATGTACCGATTTCTATACCTGTCGTTGATCAACAAGCACAACTAGAACGTCAACGAGACAATGTTGAAGGACCTTCCATCCAAAATGAAGTAATTATTCCAAAAATATAAACTCAACAACCTCAAGAACCAATGTCATTAAGGAGATCCACAAGAGAGAGGAAAAATGCTATTTCGGATGATTTTGTAGTATTTCTCTAAGAACGTGAAGAAAATATGGTGAAAGATGATCCAATCAATTTCCATCAGGCCATGCAGGGTTCTAACTCTCAAAAGTAGATATGCCATGAATAAGGAGTACAAGTCTATGCATGACAATAAAGTTTAGGATCTTGTCCCCTTACCTGAAGGTTTTTAGCCCATTGGTTCGAAATGGATTTTTAAAACCAAGAGGGATTCAAATGGTAATGTGTAGAGATATAAGGCTTGTCTTGTGGCTAAAGGCTTTACCCAAAAAGAAGACATCAATTTCAAAGAGACTTTCTCTCCAGTTTCAACGAAAGACTCTTTCAGAATAATTATGGCACTTGTTGCGCATTTTGACCTTGAGTTACATCAGATGGATGTTAAGACAGTGTTTTTCAATGGTGACATTGATGAGACGATCTATATGGTGCAACCAAAAAACTTCGTGTCAGGAAACCTGAAGAATATGGTTTGCAAATTAAAGAAATCTATAAATGGGTTCAAGCAAGCTTCCCGTTAATGGTATCACAAATTCCATCAAGTAATTATCTCATTTGGTTTTGAGATGAATGTCGTTGATGATTATGTGTATCACAAGTTCAGTGGGAGTAAGCATATTTTTCTGATTTTGTATGTTGATGACATGCTGCTTGCCACTAACGATATAGGCATGTTGCAAGAAACCAAGAGATTTTTATCAAAGAATTTTGAGATGAAAGATCTTGGTGACACTTCTTTTATATTAGGGATTTAGATATATCGATAAAGTACTTAAGAGGTTTGGCATGCATGATTGTAAACCAGGTGACAACTCTGTTGCTAAGGGAGACAAATTTAGTCTCAAACAATGCCCATAAAATGACCTTGAAGCTAAGGAAATGCAAAAAATTTCCTATGTATCAACTATTGGCAGTCTAATGTATGCTCATGTTTGTACACGTCCGAACATAGCATTCATTGTTGGAGTGCTAGGCAAATATTTAACCAACCCTGGGATGGATCATTGAAAAGCAGCCAAAAGGGTTATGAGGTATTTAAAGAGAACAGAGAATTATATGCTCACATATAGCAGATCGGACCAGTTAGAGATCATAGGGTACTCCGATTCTGACTTTGCTAGGTGCCAAGACAGTATAAGATTCACATCAGGCTATATCTATCTGCTAGCTGGAGGAGCTATTTAATGGAAGAGTGCCAAGTAGACACTCATAGCTTCTTCTACCATGGTAGTAGAGTTTGTAGCATACTATGAGGCATCTAACCATGGAATATGGCTGCGAAATTTTGTCACTAGGCTACGCATTCTGAATGGAATAGAAAGACCACTAAAGTTATATTGTGATAATAACTCGGTACTTCTATATTCTAATAACAACAGGAGCTCATCTAAATCAAAATACATTGACATTAAGTTCGTAGTTATCAAGGAAAGAGTACAGAGTGGACAGATTTCTATAGAGCACATTGGAAGAAACTCCATGATTGTGGATTCGCTCACTAAAGGATTACCACCCAAGGTCTTTCATGAGCACACTGCTCGCATGGGTGTTGTATTTCTTGACGATATCATGTTTTAGTGGGAGTTTGTATTCTCGTTGCTTTATGTTTATTTTGGACACAATTGTGTATTTTGATATTTTTCTGTATAGAAACAAAGTATTCAGTCCATTCCACTCTGTTATTATGTTCAGTATTGATCTCACTTAAGAAATAAGGTTGGACCAGTTGGAAATAGACATGTTCGGATCACATAATATGTAATTTCCATGCTACACTCCCATAATTGATCTATGTCATTTGGTTGTATGCGTGTGCGTGACCATTGATGGATTTAGTCACGCTAAATGTGACGAAAAACGCTTTGATCCTACATCAATATGACTGATGGACGAGATTGTTTGGAAATATCCTTAACAATGATAACAAAAATTTGAGCTCATAAAGTTGCACACATTTGTAATATTACATGTATAGCTTAGTGGGAGATTGTTGGAGAAATTCTGTCATATGGGTCTACACGAGTATATATTAAAATGTGTGATGTTATCTTGAAGGTTTAGTCAATAAGATGATACATTGAGTTTAATTTTGGACTAATGTGTATTAATTTTCATGGGAACAAGTGTGGAGACCGGAATAATTATTTTAAATTATTGAGGGGCCAATTTGAAATAATTGAAAGATAATAATTAATCATTTAATATGGGTCGTGGTCCCCAATTACATGTGACTTTCATAATTTTCTGCGTCCCCATCAACAGAGAACGGATTTCAAGAAATCACATAACAGTTGGAAGATCATAATCGATTTCAGAAATCTCAAATCTATGGATCAAGGTACGCTTTCGCATTTATTTTGTATTCTCATTGATTTCAACATGGAGATTCAAGAGTTTGGTTCGTTTCGATTTACTACAATTTCATCCTATGCTGGGAAATCCGCGATAATGAAGTTAACTGAAGTACATTAACATTGTGCCTCATGTGGATAGAATTGTATCTAACTCGCTGCTTATGTGACAATTTTTATATTTGTGAATGCCGCAAACCCTTTTCCGCGGTTAAGCTTAGGCCAAGAACACTTTTAGATACTGGATAATGTGGCCCTTTCCATAATGCACTCAGCTGTGCTAACATTTACTGCTGATATAGTGTTCTCAGCACTCAAATTGGCTTACTCGTCTACTGTTGATTTAAGTGAGATAAGTTATGTTTAAATCCTTTACCAAGTGAGTAATAATATGTTTTGCATCAGTTTGAAAATTTTCTCAAATTTTTTGTACACTTATTCAACGAACCTTTATCACAATATATCTTCCTTTACTACCGATAAATGATATAACATCCTCAAACTGTTCAACAATTTACTGTTGAATAATGCATTAACAGTTCATTTAGAAGTATAAAATTTCAAATTCTTTCTATTGTTATTTGTGGTATCGTGATGCTCATTCTTTCAGTACTTTGCGATGTTCTATGCATTTAAAGATTTAACTTAAGGTTTTTTTGGGGCGATAAAATTTAGCAAGTACAGATTTGAATCATTATGTATAGCGTAACTGTAACATGCAGTTATTGTTATCATATGCAGAGAAAATCTCGGATTATTATTTGAGAAATTGAACTTCAGAAATTTGAAGAAATGAAAAATGCTTCTCATGATAAATAGTTTGTATTATAGTAATAAATTCAATTTAAACAATCTATTAAATCTTAATTCATCGATTACCCATGCAATGACTCTTACCATGACTATGAGTGATAAATATTAATGGTGTGTCGTATCATCAGTTTAAACATGTAGTAGAAACAATTAATTGTCAGAGTGGTTACACATGGTATAAAGTTGACAGAACTAGTATATATTTGATAACATGGACGATGAATTGCTGTTTTATTCATTGTATAGATCAACTGTATAGATCAACATTTACGTCTATCTCCAGAATTCATGGAAATCAAACTTTTTCCAAGAGGGTTCTATCAAATTACATACTGTGTGATTTCTCGATGAGTTTTACTTGCCATCTATCATCAATGACTTTGTTTCCATGCTTGTCGCTTCCATATCTGTCCATTGAACTTTGCAATCGGTATTTGACAGAGGGAAGTGAGTTGTTGCTATACCCATTTCCTAAATGTCTAGTTTTCCCTTGCACTAATTTTCCTAAACTGGAGTTTCACAGACCATGCTTTATCCTGCTGTTGGATCAGTAACATTGATTCCAGTCAAATAATATTGCTTGATGTAGTTTGATATGTTGTTCGTATTATTGTGTTCTTGGGTTAATGATATTGATTCAGTGAAAACTACATTTTTCCTCACTAAACTACCTTGCATACAATGTTCTAAAAAGATTTAAGTATAGTTAGACAGCAAGGCCAAGTTTAAAGCTTTCATGAGCCTAGGTGGGTCTAGGTGACTCCGCCTAGGTGTAAAAAATCATAAAGCATGTCTAACCAGCAAAGTTAAGTTTCATGCCTAGGCGAACTTCTTTTTAGAACAGTGCTTCTATAAATATGTATCGTTCTCTGTGTCTGTGTGTGTGTCTTTTCCTCTAACAAACACAAAGACACATGCATGCAATCGTTGACCAGGTGAACCTATTACTTGTCAGTAGTTCTCCTTGGCCTATAGTGCCCTTTGACCAACAAAAATAGCTTGCTCTTTTTTGTGTGATCAGATGTATCTCATCACATAATTTTACTTGCAGCAAACTTTTTCTCTCATTGATCAGGGCTGTAGGCCGAAAAATTACAATGATCTTCGTGCTTTTTTCGTGGGGATAATTGATTTTCCTGTTTGCTCTTCTTCATCTGAGCTCTTTTTTTTTTAATTTTCAAAAAAAATCATCTCATAATCACATATTAATTAGAAAGTTCGAGATCCACAAATTAATGATTCCATGAGTAGAGAACTGACACGAGAATTCTTGTCCTACAAGTCCATAACAATCCAGCGACAATATAATATCAACATAAGACCCATTTATGATAGGCATTCATCGAAATTTCATACAATTAGGTTCTTGTATAAACCTGTTATCGCTTTTCACCTATTATTTTCACGGCGCCTCACATAACGAGTTCGGTCGTTGTATCTTGGTCTGTCTTGGGCTCTCTGAGGCACAGGCTCCACTCTCCTCTGTCTCTCGGGTGATCTTTGAACTCTCTCTCCATTCACGAACAGCTCAGCTCCATAGTCCTTATTCTCAGCATCAACATAAGAATCTGGAAGAACAAACAGAACACCAGGCAATCCTTCAAGCTTGTTTGAGCTCTCCTCATCAATCTCACATCCAAATCCAAAGTACCTCTCACATGACACATTATATATCTTCTTTTTAGCCTCCTCCTCGCTTCCAACAACTTTAGCTAGCGTTTGAATATAACAATCAATCATCTGCTGCTTAGTCGCCCCTTCACCGCCAGGCTTATCCATGACCATAAGCCAGTGCTCATAATCACATCCGGGGAAATGCGGCGCCATCTCTGTGGGTGGGCGGTCACCAAAGTTCGACCCCGAGTTCAGTGGCGAGTAAGAAGATCCGGACCGATTGACTCGGCATCTGATCGTGTTGTACCGGGTCAAGTTAGGAGAAGTAACCTGCAGAGAGTGGGATAAGGAAGCGGGTGTGGCTGAGCGGGTGGAGGACCCGGTTTCGAAGCCGGGGCGGACGAAACCGGGTTTAGAAACAGAGAAAGAGAATAGCCGTCTTGGGAGGAGGAGAGAAGCGGTGGCCCCGGTTGATCGGACGGCCAGGATTGACCTGGCTATAGTTGCGGCCATATCAGCGTTCTTATGTGCACGAGATTCTTCGTCTGAGCTCTTGTTGTCTTTTGAGGTACCAATTAGGTCGAGAGGACAATAAGTGAGCTCGCTATCAATTGTTTAGAATTTAGGATTGCCTTGATTGAATCTGTTGACCCCAAAAAGTGCTGCCAACAGTTGCCTGTCCCACCCCGCACACGTGGGCGAATGTCCAACACACTAAGACACGTGAACGATCTAAAACGAGTGGTTCGAAGGGAGTGGGAGTAGCCCAACGATGCGGGACGGTGACGTTCGGAATCCGGCGGGTTGTTCGTGATCCGATTGTACAATAATTACCAACCGGTGTCCGTAAATGTATATGTAAATATGTATAAACTCAATTTGTGTATTGCAAGTAAATGAGAGAGAGTTGAGTAAAGTGTAGTTCTTTATATTGATTCTTACATTAACCTTTTGATGTTACACAAAGGAAGTATTTATAGTGGTATATGTGAAATGGGAGCCCTTGGATGAGGTAGCATGTGGCCTCATCTCTTTGATTTAAACATCTTATCAGGCATGATGTTTGACTTGCTAGCTTGCAGTGCATTTATTGCTTGTGCAGAGCCCCCATACTAGTAACAAGACTTGACATTTATGCTTATGGCAAACGTTCCATCAATCATTCGAATAAGATCTTTATGCAGACGATCTCTTGGGAGAAGTGAACATGGAGGACACTCCCTTGTGGTTCAGAGGCTCCTGTATTAGCTTCGGGGCTTCGGCCATTTCACACAATACTTCCGCTTGAGGGCTTCAGCTATTTTCAACTAGTTTCAGCATCATGGCTTCGGTTCATGGGCCTCGACATGTGGACCTCGGGTACGTTCACAAGCCTCGGTAAAAAGGCACCTCGACTAGTAGACTTCGGCTTGAAGGGCTTCGGCCATTGCCCACCTCGACAATATATGCCACCTCAGCTGGAGTGCCACGTGGTTTGGCCTGAGTGGGCCATTGGCCCAGGTGGATTGGCCAAGTATGACAACACGCAACAATAGTCCCCCAAGTCGAAGTATGGTCATTCATGTAATGCATGGACTTTAATGAAGTAAAAATTGAAAGAATTTTTTGAACCCTAAATAATAGTCCCCAAAGTCCAAGTGTAGATATTTATATCAGAGTTGGAATTAGAAATGTGTTGCCGTGGGTGAACGATGAAGAGATCGAGGCTGTGTTGATGTTGAAGACGAAACTGAGGTGGTTGTAAAATCGAACCTGACTTGTTGGCTGAATGTTGAAGTTGAAGCCGAGGTGGTTGGAAAACCGAACCTGCGAGACTTGTTGGCTGAATGTTGAAGCTGAAGCCGAGGTGGTTGAGAAATCGAACCTGTGAGGCTTGATGGCTGAATGTTGAAGAAAAAGCCGAGGTGGTTGGAAAACCGAACCTGCGAGACTTGTTGGCTAAATGTTGAAGTTGAAGCCGAGGTGGTTGGGAAACCGAACCTGCGATGCTTGATGGCTGAATGTTGAAGTTGAAGCCGAGGTGGTTGAGAAACCAAACCTGCAAGGCTTGTTGGCTGAATGTTGAAGTTGAAGCCGAGGTGGTTGAGAAATCGAACCTGTGAGGTTTGATGGCTGAATGTTGAAGAAAAAGCCAAGGTGGTTGGGAAACCTAACCTGCAAGACTTGTTAGCTGAATGTTGAAGTTGAAGCCAAGGTGGCTGGGAAGCCGAACCTGCGAGACTTGATGGCTGAATGTTGAAGTTGAAGCCGAGGTGGTTGAGAAACCAAACCTATAAGGATTGTTGCCTGAATGTTGAAGTTGAAGCCGAGGTGGTTGAGAAATCGAACTTGCGAGGCTTGATTGCTGAATGTTGAAGTTGAAGCCGAGGTGGTTGGAAAACCGAACCTGCGAGGCTTGTTAGCTGAATGTTGAAGCTGAAGCCAAGGTGGTTGAGAAATCGAACCTGCGAGGCTTGATGACTGAATGTTAAAGAAAAAGTCGAGGTGGTTGGGAAACCGAACCTGCGAGACTTGTTGGCTGAATGTTGAAGTTGAAGTCGAGGTGGTTGGAAAATCAAACCTGCGAGGCTTGATGGCTAAATGTTGAAGTTGAAGTCGAGGTGGTTGAGAAACCGAACCTACGAGGCTTGTTGGCTGAATGTTGAAGTTGAAGCCGAGGTGGTTGAGAAATCGAACCTGGGAGGCTTGATGGCTGAATGTTGAAGTTGAAGCCGAGGTGGTTGAGAAACCGAACCTGACTTGTTGGCTGAATGTTGAAGTTGAAGCCGAGGTGGTTGGGAAACCGAACCTGCGAGACTTGATGGCTGAATGTTGAAGAAAAAGTCGAGGTTCAATGGTAATGATTGTGCCTCGATAGCTATGTCAATGATTTGATGTTTTGTGCTTGTTTTCGAGGAAAAGTGGCTGAACCGTTACGACTTCCACAGTGCCTGCTGCCATCGAATTAAAAACACAATTATGATGGCAGCTGGAGCTTCTAGAAGCAGATGTATTGGATGGGGCACGTGGGAGGCACGCTTGAATCTGAAGCGTAGGTTTGAAAAATCATTTGAATTCAACGCCTCGAATTTGATCTATAATGAAGGGCTCAGATTGACTGAGATTCGATATGACGACTGGGGTTCGTCTTGGACCTCTATAAAAGGTGAGAAAATTCTTTTTTTCAGGATTTTTGAACACTTGCAATCTGATTCTCTCTCAAAATCTTGAACTTTCTGACGTCGAGCCTGCCTGTTCTTTGATTTTTTGGCCTATCTCCGTTCGCGTAGTTTTTCCCTTAGGTATTATTTGTAGAAAAGCCCTTTTTGTTGTGTTAATATTATGAAATGGAGTCCACCTCGGGTAGGGAGCTGGTGACTGTAGCGTCGTTTGATTATGGGGTCAGTCAAAGGGGGGATGCCGATGCTGATAGGTACGCTATGACTGAGGAGCCAGTAGATTATACCGAGGAGTGGGGGGCATCTAGGGTACCTTCAAGTATGACGTGGAAGAGGTTGGGGGAGATTAGGGAGAGATACAGTGTCCCCCATACTATAGAAATGTTAGTTCTCGAGCCGAACAAGCAGGCCTGCTATCCGAGGCCCGGTTGTGTGGCAGTCAGTGAATAACTGTTTAAGGCAGGTATGCATCTTCCTCTGCACCCCTTCTTTAGAGCGGTGTCGAGGAATTTCATGTTGTCGTCGACCCAAATTCTGCCAAATGGGTGGAGCCAGCTGGTCGGCTCATACTTCCTGTGGAATGAGGTGTCACTTGGGGAGGACATGCGTCTCCATGTATTCATGACTCTTTTCCAGCCCCGGGTCATAGGGAAGAAGTCCAGGGGGTGGTATTACCTTACACCTTGGGGGGCTCATGTACCCTTTGTGGTGGGATTGCCTTCCTTCATCAAGGGGTGGAAGGAGTCATGGTTTTGGGTGCGAGGAAAGTGGCAGGCAGTGGAGGGGGACAAGGCCCTTTCTTGCACAGTGCCGACCCAGTACTACGAAACTCGTGAGTCTCCCAGCCCCTGCTTGTACTTCTGAATTGAATACTTGAACTTTTCTAACTGTTGGGGCTTCCATTGCAAATAGTAGTACGAAGTTTGAGCTCAGTAGGGAAGAGTTCAAGGTGATAGAGGACATCTACAAGAGGCCTCTGAAGCTCCGCCACTTTGACCACTTGATCGACAGGAATCGCTACTTCCTGGATTTTGGACTGATGGCTTTCAGAGGTACGAAGCTCCCATAGTTGTAAATTTTCTTGTTCTTTTGTTTTGATACTGATGTGCTGACCTGACATGCTATACAGATAAATTCAAGAGGAGGGAGTACCCTACTCCGAACATGGCTTTTATTCTGAAGGCCACATCTACTGTCAAGGCGAGGCCCCTGAAGTCGACGTTCAGTGGGGCCAAGAAGGTCCGAGGTAGGATGGAACGTCTGTCCAAGGACAGCACCCCAAGGGCTTTGGAAGAGGGAACTCCCCAGAGGCAGGAGAAGCATAAGGAGCCTCGGGGTAAGGAAAAAGTTCCTGAGGAGGCGAAGAGGAGGAAGCTGATGCATGTCACCAGCTCGTTAGGGAAATTTGGGACCTCAGTGTCCCACGAGGCTAAATCAACAGGTGAGCCGAAGCTGCTCACATGCGCCTCCAAAGCCATCAAAATAGAGATGGTCAGAGAGGCCGAGGCTGAGGAGGCCAGAGAGGACGCTGCGAGGAGAGCTGCTGAGGAAGAGGCAGCAAAACAAAAGCCTGTTCGAGAGAAGGGAAAGTCTCCAAACTTCCTAGCTGGAAGAGAGGAGGAGACCATGGCCTCAGCCTTGGTGCAGGCTCTTCCCCAGGAGGTCCAGAGCGCCACAGAAAGCTTTTACCAGTTCTGGACGGACAGGTGGAAGCTGTATGCCTCCTCCTGCGATGCCACCGACCTGACGAGGGCTTTGGTGAGCCAAAGCGTCAGAACCTTTGGCCTCGCACTTGAATGCAGGGAGGCCCTAAGTGATTTTCAGACAAGGACCTAGTTTTCGGAGGAGAAGACGACCTCCCTCGCAGAGGAGTTGAAGGCAGCTAAGGCTGAGGTGGAAGAAGCTAGGGCCCGAAAAGTTGAAGAATTGGCCAAACTTAAGTCTGCCTTGGCTTAGATTGAGGCCTTGAAAAATGAAGTATACAAATCATAGTGTGAGGTGGCCTCCCCGATAAAGAAGGTGGAGATCTCCAATGAGCACCAGAAAGTGACCGTCGAGGCCCTGGAGAAGGCAAATGCCTCATTGGCGTCATCCCAAGAGGCTTACCAGTTCTTGGAGGGCCAAATCAAGTGGTATGTGGATGATGCCTCCCACACAATAGAGGAGGCCCAACAGGCGAGGGAGGAGGCAGTGAAGGAGTATGTCGCCAACTTCCATAATACAGAGGAGTATAAGAGCTTCAGTGCTTACTGGAGAAACTTTGCCTACGCTGAGATGATGGAGCGAGCAGAGGAACTGTATCCCAATTTGGATTTGACTCAACTCAGGTCTGAATTCGTGGACAAGGTGCCTCAGACCCCTACTAAGGAGGTGC